GATGTTTTTGTCCAGTCGAATAGATTAAGCCAGTTGGACAATTTGAACTATTGGAACCAATTCAGCTTCATTATGCAGTTGAAAACGTGTAGCTAGTTTGACCATTTGAGCTACCTCAAGCAGTTAAGTATTGTGCAACTTGTGCAGTTCTACAGCAACGAAGTCAGTGTAGGAACACTCATTGTCTTCGGCACCACCAACCATTACATCCAAACGTATCCTCATCTCTCTACCAAACATGAGCTCGAAAGGGTTGTGCCCCGTGGAGGAATGAACACTACTACAATAGGCCATCATGCAGAGATCAAGGTGCTCATCCCATGTAGCTGCATTATCTTCAAGTCTAGCTTTTAACATGCTCCTTAAGGTTTTGTGCAGATTTTCTACTTGGCCGTTGCCCTCAGGGTAACACGCGCTAGTGCGCGTTTTGTTAACACTCAGCAGCTGGCACATTTCCGGGAATATTTTAGACTCGAAATTACGGCCGTTATCGCTATGAATGCTGTCAGGCACACCAAATCTACCGATCCAGTTCCTTACAAGCACCTTTCCACAGGTTGTGGCACGCTGGTTGGACACTGCATACACCTCAGCCCATTTAGTAAAACTGCACTGAACTGAGAGAATGCTGTTTTGGGTCTGTCCTCTTCTTTTACTTGCATCTACCAATACCCAGACGCCAAATCCAGATAGGAGAACCATTGGCCACCACCCAGCGCTTCCAAGACATCCTCGGTATTGCATCTTTCTATGTACACCAATTCAGTTTGCAGTAATCAATGCACATAACTTCCGTCATGTCTCCTTACAACCGGACTGCTCCAGGAGCTCTGTGACTCTTAAACTCTACCATTCCCTAGCGGCTCGTCCAGCTGTTGATCTGTGATCTCCCTCTGGTGCGGTGGTATGCGACGAGTGATATGCTTAATGGGAGCATGCTCACCACTGTTAATTTCATGTTCCATATTATCTGATTAACCTAAATCACAATTGTTAATTGCAAATATGCCCTCAAATTCGCCTATCGGTAGGGAAAATTGCCTTTTCTCCTCCTCCGAAAGCCCATCTGAACTTGACTAAATAACTTTTGCCCTTCTCTCTTCAGTGCTTGTCATCACAAATATTTCTGTCCATAACTGAGCAGCAACAGGGAGATCTGATCGTGACGTGAAAATTCGGTCGGAGAGGTTAACCACTCCAAAACCAAACTCCCCTGCCTTTAGCACTACTACGGAACAAGCCAGACCTATCTCACAAGTCCCCTCTACCTCTCTTAATCCCTTACAGGATTTAAGGGGTTCAAGAATTCTCTTTGTAACCAACAAACTTATCACTTGTTCAATCCCCGGTTCTGGCTCCAAAATCTGCATATATATTTCAATTACTAACCCTAACCCTAACCCTAACCCTAACCCTAATTACATTCCCGGAAGTGTTCACCTGCCCACAATCTACCCTAAGCAACATAAATTTTTTTCCTAGCAAGATTAAGGGTTTTCCTTCTAACTATAGAATGTTTGGTTCTCATCCAACGTTCTGTGTAAGTTTTAGAAGATATGGTTAAAAGTCTTTTAAGTTATAGTCCTTCAAAGTTTGAAAGGAGGGCAGGTCAACAAGATCGGGAGAATCTATGAAGAAAGCGTTATTTTGTCACCAAATTTTGCCTGCAAACGTTTTAAACAAGATAAACAATCACCACAGATACCCTTTGGCTAACCCTGGCCAATTAAAAATCTCCAAACTTTGCTCGGGAAAAAATGGCGGCCAGGTATACGCTCTACACATCACCTTGTAAGACTGGCCGAAGAAATTTGGACTATAAGGTAAGGTGATTATCCATGAAAATTACATCTCTCTGTAAATGCGAGGGTTAGAGTTGAAATTTACACAGGAAGTAACTATGTAAATTTTGTGTTATCACCGTAAGTTTCATGTTATTTCCACGCGGGAAACTCTTTTTAGAGTTGCTTTTGTACGGAGGACACTGTTCCAAATATTGTGGGGCAAAGCTATTCCACATTTTCTGCTTAAGCAGTCGTTTTCTGCAAACATTCTTTAAAAGTTTTTACATTATTAGAAAGCTCTTTGCATGGGCTTTACATTGGCATTTCTTTAACTCCTAACCCTTGCATTGTTTTGAAGAAATTCTCTGATAAAGAAAGTGAATGGGGGCAAGAGCGCACTTTTTAGGTTGCCATGTAAAAAAATCATATAAAATCGATATTTTAATATAACATCATTATATCCTGATACAATAAAGACAAATAGTAGGAGCAGCTTTTCAGAGGTTTTTGAGTTCTTTAATGGAACAGTCACAGAGATATAGAGGTCTAAATCATGCACAAGTTCAAAGTGCCAGTTTTGTCATTTTAAGGACATGGTTGACTTAATGAGACCACAACTACCCTTTAACCTTAGTGAAATACAATGAAACTCTATTGAAGTATTATCATATAATGGGACTTTAACTTACTTATAATTCGTGATATTCCATCAAGCGTAAAGAAAGATATAGAGACTTCAAGCTCCTTTAATGGAACTCAAATACATTTGCAAATTATGGTCAGCTTTAAGAGGCCAAAACTACTCTTCTGCTTTATCAATTTCAACGAAACTCTAACATAAGATGGTACATAAATAGAAATTAAATATACTTGAAATTTATGTAACTCCAATAAATCTACAAGAAAATATTTAAATTTGAAGATACCGTCATGATTTGCATAACATAGTCACTTTTCGTGCATCTGACACGAGGTCACCATTTCCACAAGCCTTCGACTGGTAAGTCATGCTTTTTGATGCTCCGTTATTCTTCTTGTTTAGCACCCTTAGAACACTAGGCAGAAGCAATCAAACTATTGAAAGAGATGTCTAAGGTGGTCGGGCAGCTTTCTTGAACATTTTCTTGCAATGGAAAACAGTTGCTTCTTCGTAGGCTTTGGTCAAAGTTTAAGGGTGCACTCTTGACCATGATGTTGTTGAAGGACCTCGTCACTAGGGCTTGAGGACCTCTTTTTTTATATTTTGATGTGATATTATGCTTGTTTATGATGTAAGGAACCGTTTGGTGTTACTTGTTTTGAAATCAGTCCCTTTGTTCATTAACTATGACGTCATTTGGTCGGAAACTTTACAACTTAATAACTTTGCAAAGTCTCAGGCACTTGGCCACTTTAGTATTGATATTTGTTGGCTGGAGGAAGGCCTACATGCATGCCACAATTTGTCGTAAACGATAAAATCCTTGCGAAGTTATTAACGTTTAAACTTTCTTACAAAATGGCGGACGCAGTTTTTTGGTACCAAGTCCCCTCGGCGCGCGCGCGAAAGTGAGGGTAGACTTTAACTGCCTATATCTTCTAGATATTAAATTTGAATGTGAAGTTTACAGGGGTTGTACTATGGCCCACGAGCTACTCTCTCATGTAATAATATTTCATTTTTAACTGGATAGTGGATTCTTGAACTTGCATCTGTGGAGGATATCATTCAAGCTAGTTTGTATTTATGAAAAATGTCTGCAAAAGGCATTGAAGAAGTTAAGCGTTTGGCCACGAAAGGACTATCGGGGGATGAAGAGGCCATTAAAGAGCTGGGCCTAGAAAAAGTTCCAGAAGTTACAATCCCAGATTTCAAGGAGATTGACCGTTTCACGGTTGACAAAATTAAGAATGTGGCAGCCATCTCATTTGTAGTTGGGAAGAAAATGGGCCTTCCCTTACTAGAGGCATCGGCCAAAAACCTGTATGAATTAGTCAAATTTGTCGAGAAAGACAAACTAAAGACAAATACGAAGCCAGAAATGGATCGCAGTGATGTAGTTAGAAGAATGAGCTACTGCTGCAAAGACATCGCAGCATGGTCGAGGAAAATTGGGGAGGTGGAGGGCGGAAGAGTGCTCCACAAACTTGAATGGTTTTCACAGAGTCTAGCTCATTTAGAGATAGGAAACAAGGAGTCACTTCGGCTTATTGGTCTTAAGAGAATGCCAGCGGTAACAATTGCGCCGATAAAGAAAGTTCCTAACTCAATGACACTCCAATGCTATTATAAGAGGGCCCATTTGATTGCCTCAACGGCAGAGTATATGGGAAATACCACTCTTCGAATTGTATCACAATTCATGATGGCCATGTGTGATGTGATTGCAAGATAGCATCACCAAGAAGAACCAGAGCTCTCGGCAGACACCGACGGCCAAGACGTTTGCGAGACACTAAACGCTGAGATAGAAGACATCATGAGATGGGTAGAGCACTTAGCGGAACTAAGAAAGAAGGAAAGGGCTGATGAGGAAGAGGAAGATGACAGTGACCCAGCGTATAGTCCAGAATCTTCAGGGGAGGAGAGCGAGGAAGAAAGTGAAACCAAGGGAGAAAGTGAAAGTGAAAGTGACAGTAAGCAAAGAAGGAAAAAGATGCAGAGGAGAGAAGCAATGGAGATAGACAGCCCAAAACCATCATCAGCGGCTTCAAAGGAAAAACCAATGTATCTAGCATATAGAGGACCCTTAGACCTAACCAAGGATAACTTGTTTGCAGATTATCGGGAGGCTGCAAACTGCTATCTCTGCTGCTGAACTAGGTCTAGACTCAGTTGTGAGCAGCGGCACGTTGGCATTAAAATACATCTCTTATGTGGCCAAGACGCAGTTTGATATCGACCTTTCCAAAAAGCATGACATAAATGCCATAAAACGCACAGAAGTAGAAGACATGATGAATAACATGAGAGATGAATGTACTAAAGAAGGCGCCAAAACCAACAAATGTAACGAAACCACCTCTGCCGCTGATGGCGCAAAAAGCTCCAAGGCTAGCCAAAAAGCCTCTAAAGAAGTCACTCCCCGAAAATTCAGTCTTGCAATTAAACCCCCTACCAAGGATGAAGATGAGGAATCGATATCATCGAGAGATGACGTGGAAGGAGAAGTTCGAGAGGAAGATGAGAAAAGAAGTCACCACTCCAAGGTGAGATGCAGAATCCCTGGATGTGGAATGATGGCAGGCGACATCAAGCGTCATCTTAAAGTGCATGTTGGTAAACAGATCGAGGAGGAAGATGTGCCGAGGGCTGCAGCGATTATGAAGGCAGGGAAGGCTACAAGGGGGCCAAGACAGGTGAGGGGGAAGAAGGAAGTGGAAACTCCGGGGAGATTACGAAAATGGTGCCCGGTAGACGGCTGCAACACAATCACCAGCTATCTTAATCAGCATCTGGTAAAGGCACACAGGTTAAAGAGCTCCCATACCCAGTATAGGGTCCATCTCAAGGAGGCTAAAAGGTATACTGGTATCCAAGAGTTAGACTGCCTGCTCACTCTACCATCCAAGGCACCGTCATCCAAGCTGACATCTCCGTCATTCTTAACTGCTCAACCTAATCCACGTGAACACAAAACCAACGAAGATGAAGAAATAGAAGAGACCCAAGGAATAGAAGAGACCCAAGAACAAGAAGAAGAAGAAGAAGAAGAATGGCATCCAGAGGGAGAGGTGGAGGAGAGTGACGAAGATTCTGAAGATGCTCCAACCATAAAGATCAGGAAGGAGGAGTATTACTCAGCGACAAAATTTACGAGTTACCGCCACCAATGGCTCTCTGGTTTCTTTAAGTACCTGAAGAGCCCATCAGCGGGCTACAAAAAGCTTGAGAATAGACTCCAGCACGTGGGCCAGGTGGAGAAGCTCTTGGAAACGCTGGACCCCAACGGTAAGGACATCACCATCCTAGGGGAGGAATTTGGAGATATCGTATGGAACAAATGGGTCAGCCCACACCTTTCTGAGGGAACGAAGGCACCAGGTACGTTGGCCTCCTATTTGACCAGTCTGGAAAAGTTTTTCGTTTTCGTCACGTCCGACAAGTACAAAAAGAAAGGAAATGCCGCCGCTGCATGGCAACGATTTGGACTTGTTTAAGGGGCCATCAACGCCCTGAAAGGCTGGCGTGTAACTATCGATAACGAAACCCAGGATGTTCAGCACCGGACCCATCTCAGAGAGTGCGATACTCTCTTGACGGGAACAGACATCAACCTTCTCTCTCAATCAAAACCCTACATAGATGATATGAAGGCCATAACTCAGGCCAAGGCAGGAAAAAGGCTCTCCATACAACAATTTACAAATGCTCGCGATCTTCTTCTGGTAAAACTCGCGCTACTTGTGGCATCTCGACCTGCCCCGCTAGAGAATGCTCTTCTTGAAGACTACCAAAAAGCGCAGGAGAAGGACGGAAACAGGGTCATGTTAATCCCGAAGCATAAACGATCTAGAGAGGGACCAGTACCACTTGGCATGGATAAAGAGGTGCAAGATCTCATGGAGGTCTATGTCAATAAGATCAGACCACACTTTGTTGCAAAAGATGTCAAACACCTCTTCGTTAAGAGTGACGGCCAATCATTCAACAGAAATACCATTGGAAAAAGATTCTCTGCTTTCTTCGAGAAAAGTGGCGTGAGGACCGACAGACGCGTAAGCCAGACTGCTGTAAGAAAGTTTGTAACAACGGCAGCGAGAAGGCATGCCCCAGAGGAGATGTCGAATATCCAGAGGGTCTTGTGCCATAGCGAAAGGTCATCTCGCAACAGTTATCTTAGGTTGGACTTGACAGAGACGGCCTCACACGCCATGAATATCATAAAGAAAGTCACCTCCAGTGAAACAGAAACTAAAACAAAGAAAGAAACTCTTGCTGAAGAACTTCCCGAGAAACAAATAAAGAAAGGTGGTGAGGAGAGTGACCAAAGTGCAGACGTTGATCTTCCTGGGCCAAGCCAACTAGCGTCTGAAGATGACGAAACCTCCACAAATGTTATCCCACCAACAGTCTCCCCTGGCAAGGTTTCAAGTCTGACAGAAAAACAGAAAGAAGCCATTAGGGAAATCTTTTCATCTGCCATTGAGAGAGGGGAGAAACAACAAATGATGGCTGTGCGAAATAAAATGTCGACCACACTAATCTTAAGGAAAATGACTACTTCTATCTCAAAGGTAAAACAGGTAACCAACTTCGTCAACTACCTAGTGAGCAAACGACCCTTTGAGGTGGAAGGTTTGCCAACCCAAGCAATTGAAGTTGAAGAATGGCTTGATGACCAATCATCATCACTAAAATCTGATCAACGGATGCACTGGGATCAACGAGATACACAAGCGATGGAAAGAGAGTTCCGTAGGTTTCGAAAATGTCCACCTAAACAACAACTAAGGCAGATGTTCACGGTGAATGCACGCCTAGCTGCAATCTGTAAAAAGGAGGGTTTCAGTCGGTGCTACGAGAAGGTAAAAGAGCATTATGCGGAAGAAAAACAAGTAGTGACTCCAGCTACACGTCATAGTGAAAAATCACTGCTTCTCTGTAAATAACTTTGTTCGTGTTGCTTCCGTTCCTTTTTACTAAGTTAGTTCAAGCCGTTGCGTGTCTTTGTTCATGTTGCTTCCGTTCCTGTTACTAAGTTGATTCAAGCCATTGCATGTCTGTAAATAAGTCTGTTCATATTGATTCCGTTCCTATTACTAAGTAAGCTCAAGACGTTGCGTTCCTGTAAATAAGTTCGTTCATGTTTCTTTGTCAGACGTTCTCCTGGCAACAATGAGTTGGGCTGGTTACCCGATGATACCCTCTGGTATTGTGAGAGTTTGTCAGGGATCAAACACAAGCTGGGGTAGCCAATCCCTGGGGAGTGCCCCAAAAACTTTCACAGTCCCAGGTAATACTCTTGTCGTTTGAAACGGCAAGAGGGGGACCAGGAAACCACTTATCACAACAGTACAACCCAGTCGTCGTGTTATGACTATGACCAAACTTATAAGCAAGCTTAGTATGTTAAACTTCATTCAAATAAACTGAAATTTACCGCTCCAGCAGATCGATCCATTGTTAAACAGTGTGCTAGATTTCAAAGATACACCATGAAGGGTTCCAAAGTTACAGTGGTCCTTATGACTGGACCTCCCATTACTTGATCATGTTGCCAGTCAATCTGAAACAAAAAGATTAAAGCTGTCCAATCCAATTAATAAATTCTCCCTCTAAAAGTAAAGGTCAAACACAATAACTCCTGCAACTTTCAGCAAATTCGCCCATAATAAAAGAAACCTAAGACAAAAAATCCCTCGATCTAAAGTGGGCAAGACAACACAGAGGGCCAGACAACAACATGTGAGGGCAGGACAACACCCTATGTGGGCAAGACAACAACGTGAGAGGGCAAGACAAAATTCGGACAACACAGAAATGGGGGCAAGACAACCAAAGAGGGCAAGACAACATTTTTGTGGGGGGAAGACAACACACAATGGGGGCAGAACAACACAGGAAAATAGCCCTCACCCTAACCCTAACCCTAACCCTAACCCTAACCCTAAACCTAACCCTAGCCCTAGCCCTAGCCCTAGCCCTAGCCCTAACCCTAACCCTAAACCTAACCCTAGCCCTAGCCCTAGCCCTAGCCCTAGCCCTAGCCCTAGCCCTAGCCCTAGCCCTAGCCCTAGCCCTAGCCCTAAGCAATTACTGGTGTACCCTTACAGCATCTGACTGGAATTTCTGACTTACGCTGTTTTTAACATTATCGAATAGAAAACATATTTTTATTTGTTCGCAATTAAACCGGGCTATTGTGAGTTAAAGCTCACAAAAAAGCGTTTTCGCCTTTTGCTCTCTAAAATACGCTGCTTTCAGCTTTATCGCATCAAAAACATGTTTTCAGCCTAACTGCATCGAAAAAAAGGTTTCTGCCTGTCTGCAGCTAGTCACCCTAACTAGAGCTTGATTTCACTGAACCAACGTTTTCGTTTGTTTTCGGCTAAGTTACCCCTGTCTTCATCATTATCTTTCTGCGAACAATGCTTTGGACTCTTTTGTTACTAGACTACGGTTTTACACGGTTTATCGCACCGAAAACATGTTTTGGTCTGTTGGCAGCTAAAATTGGATTGCTTTAAGCTTTATCTCTCGGCAAAGTAGCGTTTTCCCTTTTTAACTGCTAAAATACGCTGCTTTCAGCTTAATTGCACAAAAAACGTGTTCCTTTTTTTATGTAAAATTGCGCTGTTTCCAGCGTAATTGCAACGGGAAAAGATGGTTTGCAAGGCTGCAGCGAGTCTCTGATTTTTACTTGATTTTACTTAAAACAACGTTTTTGCTTGTTTTTGGCTAGCTTCTGCTGTTTTCAGCATCATCTTTCTGAGCACAAGCTTTTCCTCTTTGTTCGTTACCAAACTGCACTTTTGACGCTCTATATTACCGAAAAAAATGTTTTGGTTTGTTGGCAACTAAATTAAGTTGCTTTGAGCCTTATGTCACAAAAAAGCGTTTTCCCTTTCTGTGTTTAAAATATGTTGCGTGTAGCTTTATTGCAGGGAAAATATGTTTTGGTTTGTTTCCGGTAAAATTGGGCTGTTTCCAGTGTTATTGCACCGGAAAAAGGTTGTCTTCCAGTTTGCAGTGAGTTACTTTGATTTTTACTTGATTTTACTCAAAACAACGTTTTTGTTTGTTTTCGGCTAAGGTACGCTGTTTTCCCTTTTTAATTGGTAAAATACACTACTTTCAGCTTTTATTGCACCAAAAACATGTTTTTGCTTTGTTTACCGTCAAATTGGGCTTTATCCAGCGTTATTGCACCGGTAAATGGATTTCTTTTCCAGTTTTTTGCGAATGACGCTGACTTTTACTTGAGAGCGCTCAAACAACGTTTTAGCCTGTTTTACCTAAGTTACCCTGTTTTCAGTATTATCCTTCTGAGAGCAACCATTTTCTCCGTTTTGTAACTAAACTACACTTTTGACGCTCTATCTTACCGAAAACATGTTTTGGTTTGTTGGCAACGAAATTGGGCTGCTTTGAAATTTAGATCACAAAAAAGAGCGTTTTTCGTGTCTAAAACACGTTGCACTCAGCTTTATAGCACGAAAAACATGTTTTGGTCCGTTTGCCGTAAAATTTTGTTGTTTCCAGCGTTATTACACCGGAAAAAGGTTTTCTTCCAGTTTGCAGCGAGTCACCCTGCGTTTCACTTGATTTTACTCAAAACAACGTTTTTTACTTGATTTTGGCTAAGTTACGCTGTCTCAGACACATGTTTTGGTTTGTTTGCCGTCAAATTGGGTTGTTACCAGCGTTATTGCACCAAAGAAGAATTTCTGTCAGTTTTCAGAGGCTTATGGTAATTTTTACTTGATTTTACTGAAAAAAACGTTTTCGTCTGTTTTCGGCTAAGTTACGCCGTTTTCAGCATTATGTTTCTGAGAACAAGCTTTTCCTTTTTTTCGTACGTAGACTGCAGTAATGACACTTTATCTTGCCGAAAACATGTTTTGGTTTAGTTGCAGCTAAATTGGAAGCTTCGAGCTTTATGTCACAAAAAGCAGCTATTTAGTTTTTCGTTGGAAAACACGCTGCTCTGAGCTTCATAGCACCGAAAATATCTTTTGGTTAGTTGGCAACAAAATTGAGCTTCTTTGAGCTTTCTATCGCAAAAAACAGCGTTTTTGCTTTTTCTTGGCTAAAACACGTTGCACTCAGCTTTATAGCACAAAAAAATTTTTTGGTCTCTTTCCCGTAAAGTTGTCTGGTTTCCAGCGTTATTGCACTGGGAAAAGGTTTTCTCTCAGTTTGCAGCGAATCACCCTGACTTTCCCTTGATTTTACTCAAAACAACGTTTTTGCTTGTGTTTGGCTAAGTTACGCTGTTCCAGAATCCTACCTCTGACAACAACCTTTTCCTCCTCTTTCGTGAGCAAAATACACTTTTGACGCTCTATATATTACCGAAAAAATGTTTCAGTCTGTTGCTAACTAAATTGGGCTGCTTTGAGCCTTTGAGTACAAAAAATAAGTTTTGGCTTGTTTGGTGTCAAATCGGGCTCTCTCCAGCGTTATTGCACCGGTAATTAGATTTCTTTTCCAGTTTTTAGCGAGTGACCCTGGTTTTTAGTTGATTAGCCTCAAAACAACGTTTTAGCCTGTTTTTGGCTAAGTTACACTGTCTTCAGCATTATCTTTCTCAGAACAACCTTTAACACGTTTTCCTACATGAAATACGTTTTTGACGCTCTAACTTGTCGAAAACATGTTTTGGTGTGTTGGCAGCGAGATGGGGCTGGTTTGAGCTTTGTGTCACATAAAAAGAGCGTTTTTTTGCGCATGTGTTTAAAATAAGCTACTTTCAGCTATATTGCAGGAAAAGCATGTTTTGGTTTGTGTGCCGTAGAATTGCGCTGTTTCCATTGATATTGCATGGGAAAAAGGTTTCCTGCTAGTTTGCGTAGATTTTTATTTGATTTTAATAAATGCAACGTTTCTCCATTTTTCTGCTAAGTTACGCTGTTTTTAGCATTATCTTTTTGAACCATTTTCTCTGTTTTGTATTGCACGGGAAAAATGTTTTCTGCCAGTTTGCAGCGAGTCTGATTCTTACTTGATTTTACTCAAAACAACGTTTCCGTTTATTTTCGGGTAAGCTACGTTCTTTTCAGTATTATGTTTGCAAGAACAGCCTTTTTCTTTTTTTTTCGTACCTAAACTGCGC